TTTTTTTTTTTTTTTTTTTTTTTTCTCAAGTTTGTGATAACTATCTTAATAGAACAGAGAAACTTCTACTGCCAAGTCACAGTGAAGCTCCAGTGTCCCTGACTCTCCAAAATAGCTTTTGATTCAAGTAAATCCTCCCTATCCTTTCCTGCCTTTTCATACATACTCATCATAACTAACCAGTTCCTTTAGGCCCACTACTAGCGCCTTTGTTCATGTAAAGAAGCACCAAACTATGCTTCCTCGTCTATCAATGCCGCCAGTTCCCTGCGTACTTTAATTCCCTCTCCTTACTGCCTTTTACTCTTCTAATGTAGGTATTATAATGCACAGTGGGTCTATCATTATATTTTATCTAGTTTCTAAGATCGAATTTTTAGAAAGTTTCTAGGATAGAATCTTATCTATTTTCCAATTTAGTTTTTTTTTTAACGGATCATCTTATCTATGACTACAAGAAGTCATCTATCAAATAAATCTGAGCCGCCATGGAGTTTTTCCAAATTTCGGTGTCTCTATGTAATATGGAATCACCCCAAGGGAAAGTAAGATTCGGATTACCTTATTGATCAAATATCTCAAGACAAAAAAACTTGTTTGAGATTCGAATCACTCCACAAGCAATATTGATCAAGTCAAGCTTGAATGATTCTAAACATGTAATCTAAACTATAACGAGGAAAATTTTTTGACAATGAATTTTTTAGGTTAACCGGATGAGTTTTCAAGTGGGAGAATTGTTAAGTTGTGGAGCCTAATGTTTAGGATATAGAATTTTTTTTAGAAAATTCTTCATATAGAATTTTATCTAGTTTCTAAGATAGAATTTTATCTAGTTTCTTGGATAGAATTTTATATTCTCTGATTTAGTTTTTTTCATGGATTATCTCATCTATAGCTACTGGAAGTTATCTATCAAATAAACCATAAACCATAGCTGCCATGGAGTTTTTCCAATTTTCGGTGTCTCCACGTATATTTCTCCTTGTGTCTTCTCCCTTTTATTCCTCATGTTTGTGTTTTCTCTCTTTAATTTTTCATGTTCTTTCATCTAGATCCAGCATGTACTTGTGCAATCCTAACAGTAGCAACAACCATAAGAAATATCCAGTTCCATCGAACACAAGGCAATGCAAATAGGTTCCAAGAAAATGACCCCAACTGATTCCATCGGAGTGTGGATGGAAAAAGGTACTTCTCTTGAGCTGTAACGGTTGTAGTTGAAAGAACTCAAGCCAGAAAGTTCCAATCCAATATTGAGTTCACTTTCTGCTATTCTGCAGCCGCTCCCCGTTCTAAAACGATGTTTCCCTAGATACTCCAACTCTTCTCTAGCAAAAGACACTCCTTGAAGCTGGCATTAATTGGTGCTTCTAAAAACGATGAATAGGACACTCAGATGCCCATGTCCAATTTGGTCATTCCAATTCCCTGCGTAAAGAAGAATGCCTTCAGAACACCAACTTGTCTTATGTACTTCCCACTCTTAGATTTTGGTGATGACCCAATTTTAGGTCTAGCTTAGATGATATCGTATCAATAGCAAATAATGGAGAAATACGACTGAAGATTCACATTTCTTCCTACGACATGCCTCATTCCTTTCTAGAACAAATCAATAAGCCTTCAATTGTTAATGTGGAGTGGGGCACTTGATTTTCTCTGATACCGATTGTAACTATTCTAATCAGTTGGTAGAATAATAATGACGAATGACACATTGAACCCATATCATCTTTTGCCTTATCATAGGAATCAATATAATAATTGTTTTTATGACTATGTTCCTTGCTGTTTCGATTTTTTTCTTGCTTTCAAATCAAATAATTAACTTTATCTATGATTCATTGGAACAAAAAAATTCAGGCGGTTGGAAATAAAAAGAAAAGGACTTGATGAAATGATAGGGACTTTATTTTCATTATTTGTAAATATATGTTTTCAATAGTATTTAGGGGTCTATCATTTTTTTCGTTATTATACTTCTAAAAGGCATGCAAGTTGCACTTTTTAATTATATTTCATGTTTATTCTTAAAACTTTTTTGACACATCGGGATAAATTTTCGTTGTTGACGCTGATTAGCCTGTTCCTTAACTTCCCCTCAGGATTGGGATCGACAGGGAGCAATTCAAATTTTCACGCAGATGTGTGGTTTTGTGACGATTCTCGCGGGTACTTTTCTTCTTCACAGAACAAAGGATATGGTTGAGGGTGGGTCCTCAGTTCCTCCTTCCATTGTTTTAATATCATATCAGTTTCAAAACATCTCATATTTGAAGTTTTGTTTCATTACAGCTTCTTCAACGACACCATCTTTTTCGATGCGACATTCTAAACACGTAGAAGATGGTCGTGAGCTCGAAGCCATGCCACTTCAGCGTGAAACATCATTGTGATAAGATTAGCCAGTCATGACTAAACTTGCCGCCATTTATGAATTCACTCTTATCATCATGTCACATTTTGTGCACAAATCTTGGGGAAAGGTACGGCAGCCACTGGCTTTGTGATCGTGAACATTGTTGATAGATTTGAAGGGGAATGCAAGCCTGGTTGGACTACAGACGGTAATCAATCTCGTTTCTTAGAGGAAAATGATTTGGAAGTCCCATTTTTTCTGTTAGGAACCTCTTCGTGGGTTGCAATTTTTGACCCATTGTTCTATATATACTATATCATATCATTCATTCGTATTCACAAAGAAATAGACTTTCTGAGGGATGTGTGGCTCATAGAATGGCTTGGCATAGCAAGTTGGAAGGACCATTTACATACATACTGATTATACTTCACTCATGTACTCCCCCACTTTTTCTACACTTCTTTCTTGATTTAATAGAAATTCGTTCTAGCATTGCCCAAATCATCATACCATGTCACATTTCTTGTGTGGGTGGACAGTTTGCAACAACAGCAAATATGAGGAAGAAACAAATGAAATATTCATCAACAATGTCTACTGTTCTAATATTTTCACAAAATTTTCACAAATTGTGTGGGCGGTGATGGCGAGTGTGGTAGTGATAATGAAGGTGTTCAAAAAGCTTCTGTTTTTTCATAGCTTTCGCAGGATGCTCAGAGCTTGGACATGGGGATATATCCTCTTGTAACCTATTTGTTTTTGGAAATAGAAGAATATTTTTACTCTCCCAAAAGCCTCGTATATCATTAGCTCAACTCAAACTTGCAAAAGAAGCAAACAGTTTCGAATGAACAAATGAACTGACTGAACTCTGTATCAATCGGCTTGAAAGTATATAGAATTACACATTTATATTGTCACAGAAATGGTACAAATGAATTTAGAACAGCTTTCCCTTACCACCAAAAGAAGCAATGAATAGAAAGTAAAATTGGCATTACTAAAACACTAGACCACCTCCCTGCCATCCTCCATGGAGATGCTTAGTAGTAACTGCATCGTCCAACTCTGTTCAACAATTTGTTGGGATAAGATAGCTGAAAAATCCACAAATCTCAATTACAAAATTTGATGGAGTATTTTGACTGGCAGGCAGAGAGTCCATGACTGTCGGACCAGAGGGCGATATATGCATATATTCACTAAGCACTCAAGGAAGTGTATGGCCAAGCGAATTATGTCAAAACCAGCAACCTCAAAAATATATATAACACATTTACTCAATTGCAATTTCCTGAACAGTTCGCTTCTCATCCGACCTGTGACGAAACAATTTCGCTATTTTTCGTCTCTCGCAGTCCTACAAAAACAGGTTGAAGAAATTGTTAAATCAACAAGGTTCCATATTGAGCAATTTTTGGACAAGCCACATGTGGACACTTTGCTAATAAATTTGTACTGAAAATTGATTGCTCACCTTGAACATATTAAGATAAAAAGGTCTTCCAGGATTCATCCTTACTAATTTCTGGTATGTATATGCAAAACTAAGTTGATCTCGGGGAGTAAATTTGTCGACTTCATTGAACCATAGGCAAGAGAACAGATTAGACATTGGAGTGTGGGCCCTAATGATGAAAGATCCTTCAGGCACATCTGCATTTGTCGGCAGAGAAAAAAAACTCACGTCAATGAAATGAGAATGGAGCAACCGGGATCACTAATTACGTGCAATCTACTCCCAAAAAAAATTAAAAATAACGAGAGAGGAGGTTGTTAATAACATACTGCTGGGAAGAAGCTTGTTTGTGCCTGATGCATTAAACCTCTTCAATCCATCAGCCTGGTAAAATGCAAATTGTTCATCTATGATACTATGGTTGTACTTGTTTAATCTCTTATTCTGAGCCACCTCTTCCCATACACAATGTCTGTTGTAGTGATTTGAAATGGCAAATTCATTTCCTTTTCGCCATAAGAAGTATTCCAAGATGAGGAGAGGGTCATATTGAAGACGCAACTTACTATCCAACCAGATCGAATACCTGAGAAAAGTAGGCAAAATATTAGATAAAAGTATTGAATCTTGGCCACACAAACTAACCATTTATTTAGATTAGAATTCAGCAGAGTTTATGGTAAGGATAATAGCACCAAGTTTTACATCGTTGCATTTTCACCTTGCCGAAGGAAAAATTCGATGTGCCAATAATTTTGGTATTTTCCCAACTCTTCTCATATCAGTGTACGGTAAATTCTTTACCACAACAATCTTCCATAGGCCAATAAAACCCATTCTATCCACTGTTTGACCTTCTGATGAAAGAGTCTCCATGGTAACTTCATCCATAAACATAACAAAGCAGACATTTTTTCTTGAAAAACGAGTAACCTGAAACAGAGGCAAACTGGACTGAACTATAGAGTCTACCATTTCAAAAGAAACATATGGTCTGAATAATATTAGATTACTGGGAGCACATACTCATAGATCCTTGACTTGCACACATGCACAAGCTAATTCGGGAAAAGATGTTCACAAGGAAAGAAAAGAAATCAACAGGGGAAGGAAAACACGGGAGATGCAATTAAAGAGAACATTGAGAGAATCATGATAAAGCTGGAATTTCATAAAGAATGAATACTCATCTCAAGATCTATCTTATAAAAGTAGTCACCCAGTTTCCTTAGAAGCATGGCTTTCCAATTCTGTGATATATGACCAATGACATATAATATGAGACCATCATATGCATTGGACAATAGTTTGATCATGGATAAGCAGTAAAAGTACATTGTACGATCAGGACCTATCATCTGTCGTTTTTCAATTTAACTCATTATATGCAAAGTGCTACTTGAAATTCCTAACTAAAAAATATATATATATTATACCGATTTTCCAGTTGGTGATCTCAGGCGATCTGAATTCCCGAATATACAGGAGATTACGGCAATGTGGCATCTACTGATATAATTGGAATCATCTTCTGCCAGATCAAATCCCGTACTTGCAAAACTCTTAGGACCCTTCACAAAGCCACAACTTATGTTTTGATCCTGTGCATAGAATGCTGCCTGACGTTCTTGCAATGTTTGATGCCCTGCAAATCTAGGCATCCATTTTTCTTCATTGCTAGGCTTTTCCTCTGTCTCAATGTACTGCAAAGTAAATCTAACAAATTTTTTACTTTCTAAAGGTTCAAGAATTTGTGCCGTAGAGTTTAAGAACTTCATCTCACATGACGAACCTGCCAGTTGGGGTTTCAAAATATCATTATACAGAACATTTTATTTAGATCCTATCAAACAAGTAGAAAAGTAAAATGTCACGTCCGATCATCTACGTATAATACTAAAGCTAAGTTTAATGCACATCAACATTACTTGCCCATGATGCATATGGCTAAGTTAAATGGACTCCAAATCTAGAAAGAAGCTGTTTTACAAACGATACATTAAACCCTCCAATTTATCAGAAAGCAGTACCTGAAAATTTTCGATGCTTTGGTTTCTTTCTCAGATACAATTTTGACCTCTTTGTATGCTGACCATTAGTGACACTAACATGTTTGGAATTTTTGTTAACCGCATCAGAATTTTTGGAATTTGACGTATAATCCTTGTCCAATGAATGTTTGGAAGCCTCAACATTTTTTTCACCATCCTGCCAATTCTTGGTTTCTCCATTAAGCATATTGAGGGATTTCCTATGGTCATCATTGAGGGATTTTCCAGTCTCAACAACATCAAATGATTTCCCAGAGTCTTCCTTTGTCGAACGTGCTGCATCAGATTGGTCCTCTTTCTCGTGTTCTGTATCACTGTCTTCATCCATAGAAGGATTTTGATTATCACTTCCATTATCATACTCATCATCTGTGTCAATAATGTCATTCCAATTTTCCAAATCATCTTCATCAGCTACCTGGTCATCTTCATTTCCATGTTTTCCCAATTGACCTGAAGTCTTTATCGAAGCCTCATACTCAGCTTCATACTTCCTCAGCTCCTTTCGCCCAGCTTCATTGTATAGTCCATGAGAATGTTCAAGGAGTGATTCTCTGTGGCCCTCACTCACTTTTGCTGGAACATCACCCTTGTCAGTATCCTTGTTGGTAGTAGGCACATGTTCCACTGCATCCTCATTGTAATCTTGGTCCCTTCTTCGATCATCCCCATCCCAATACCTTGAGTCACGGCCATGTGCAACTAAACCTTTACCAAACCTGACTTTGGTTGTCTCTGTTCGAGTAACATTTGCAAGGAAATCAGGGTCGTTCTTGAAGTCATCATCCTCAGCGTTGGAATTGCTAATTTCTGCATCAATTTATTATCAATCAGTTAAAGGCTACCAAGATTTCATAAGGATTACTGTAACTAGAAATTAACAGAAATCAACTATACAAACAAAACAATTGGAGCGGCAAAAAAACGTGGCTAAACAAACAGACCATTATTCAAAAGATTTAACATCTGGATTGCACATAAGTTCACTAAGCAATCCTCTGCAACAAACACATACTAAACTGGGTGGGATAGAAAATAGTGATTTCAAAGTGACCATTAGGTATGGACGTCGGGGGGAGGGGGATGGGGTTGGGGAATAGAAAGTGTTGCCACGTGCGTGAGGACTAACTGATATCATTTCCAATTCCATACTGCAAGTTGCAAGCTCTTCTCCTACCTTCTTACAATGTTTTTTTCGCCGCATAAAAACTCAAAAACCAGAGAGGAGAAAGTAAAACAGACCTTTGGTGTCCCTCAATAAATAGTAATAAGCTAAAACGGTGAGGACAAGAACAAGCGAGAGAGCAAATATAATTGCCCCAACCGAGATCCCTCTGCCCTTATCGGGGCGAGCTGCCCTACGAACCCTAGCCTGCTTATACGGCGTAGTACGAATTCCCACCGCAACGTGATCGGCAACGCCATTGTTAGTTGAATGGAGCGCATCATGAGCCCTTGGTCCATATCTATCCGTCCCCGACTGCCTGTACTGAGCCATTCACATATTCAATCATCCAATCCCAGCAATCTAGCGCTCCTCTAACTCGAACAGGACAGAGTGGAGTTCATTCAATTTTGCCCAATTCGGAGGGACAAAGAAGATCACAAGAAATAGGGGAAATGAAGTGTGAGGAGTAACTCGACAGATCTGAGATTTGAGAGTGGGATTTCCAGATTGCTGATTTAGTTAGTGGTGTGTCTATCCATGGCGGATGGGAGATGGAAGGAGGGAGATAACGGAAGTGGTTTGGTTTGAATTGAAATGCTTTCTAAGTCTCTCACCCAACTCTGCAATCGTTCATCGACAAATAACGCTAACCCATATGCCTTGGAAGTTTTAATAATTTAAAATCCAAAAAATTTACGACCATCAGCCTTAAAAATAAAGAATGATCCATTAACACAGTTCGTGAATTTCATAACTAAAGATGTTAAAATTCAATAAATTTACACCATTTATACGATCGTCGTCGAGTCCTATTGGACTCAGAAATATCACCAGTACACAAGCGAGGGCCATTGTCTCTATTGGTACGAGACATTTTTTAAAAATTGAAAGAAAAGTCAAAGTTATAAGAACAAAATTATTTTCGATGGTTGTACTGAGTTGCATTTGTAAGTTGCAAAAGGGAAATAAAGATAATAGAGAGCTGACAACATACAATGATAGTGATTATGCCGAAGATGATGAAGATGACAAGAAAACCACTTTTAATCATGTGTTTCTACTGTGTGAAGAAGCTATGTCTTGACCCTCCAAAAAACTAACATGTAGTTACTTTGTCCACTACTAAAGCTGGGTTTGTGGTAGCTACCTCTTATTATTGTCAAAAGGTGTGGATGAGAAGAGTACTGAAAAAGCTCGGTCATTTTCAAGACAGATGCATCACTATGTTACGTGATAACATTTTTACCACTAAGCTATCTAAGAATCTAATCACGCATAGATAAAATTTCACTTCCCGAGTGATTTGACATTATGTTATGTAAGAACCATTTGTAGATATTATAGCAAAACTATTTAAGTTGGATCCGTTCATAAAACTGGTGAGTCAATAGGTACGTGTATAGTGTCTTTGTATGAGTTGGGTTGATTGAGAGATGATTGAGAGATGAGACAACGACCTAATATTGTGTGTTATGGGGCCATATTGGAAGTCTCCTCTTCTTCATTAATACCTACCTTTCCATACACATTTCAAATATACCAAATATCTCCTCTTCTTCATTAATACCTACCTTTCCATACACATTTCAAATATACCAAATATTCTCTTTTTAATATTCCCACCCCAATATTCAGTTCACAGCGAAAAAAGAAAAAAAAACCGCCGTGAGCCACCGCAAGAGAGGATATCTCTCCGCCGCAGAGTCCATCTCCGGTGCGAATCCTGGGAGCCGAGCCGAGCCTCGAGAGAAGTGCAGTGTTAGCGGAATGTAGGGCGAGAAAACCATGGCTTCACCACATGATGGATACGGATCTGCTCTGTCTCTTCCACTTGTTTTTTTTTTTTCTTTTTTTTTCTTTTTTTTGGACAATTCTCAATCTCAATGAAATCTTTTGACCTCTTTACTTGATGTTTATTATTATTATTATTTTAACGATAATAAATAATCAGTAATTGAAGAGCATCATCTGTACCGTTGACCAATGGGAAATTGACACGTGGGTTTTGGGTGAGTAGTTAAATTTGTCTCTCGTGATAATTACTCATAGTTTCTTATAGTTTAATCATGGTTAGAAATGTCAATAAAGAAAAAATAACTAATTATGAGATCCAAATTTTTTTTATTGGATGTATTATTTTGTTTGAAGTAACGAATTTAATGTGTTGAATGGGATTATTTGATGCCTCACTAATTATTCTAATCACGAAATTTTAATCATTATTTTTTTTTTTTTGTAATTAATAAAATGGAGTGAATTTGAATCTATAACAAAGATATATTGATACCAAATAAACTAAATTAAGATTAACTTAAAACACAAACCAGCGTTGACAAACAAATTAAAATGAAGCTTATTTTAGAAGGAAAAAAAACCCAATAATAATAATAATAATAATAATAATTCAGGTATATATATATTACAAACAAATTTCTGAAGAAACTTGAAGTGGGTTTGTGTTTGTGTGCTCAAATTCTCAAATTCCCCGAATTCTCAGACAGAGAATGTGAAGAATCGGAGAGAATTAGCGGCGATGTTTCAATCTTCTCGCCGGACTCGTTCTTTCTCTTCTTCTTCTCCTTCCTCCTCCTCCTCCTCCTCCTCCTCCTCTCGCGGTTCTTACTATTTTCCCGATGACTCTCCGCTCTCCGCCGCCACTCCCATCCGATCATTCTCCGGCAGCATTCCCTTTTCCTGGGAATATTTACCCGGAATCCCCAAGAAACAGTCTCCAGCGAGGCTTCGGCTAGATTCCGCCTCTCCTCTGACCTCTCTCCTCCCCTTGCCTCCCATTTCCACCACTCTGCCGTCCTCCAAGCGCTTCGGATTTCACGACTGGAGGAAATCAAACCGCCAAAATTCACAGCGAGATCCTTTCTTCGACGCCTTCGTCGAGTGCTCCAAAGAACCTTCCGCCGCCACCGCAGCTGAGCAAGACCCGACTGCCGAGCTCTGGAACAGCGGCAGCAATGGCAAAGCGGTTTCGAGAAGCCTGAGCGACCGATTCGGATTCTTGAATCCGAACTCTTCTTGCAAACGAACCTGCGGCGTATCGGAATCCATCGTGTATCGTCCGAGAAGGGGGAGGAGTTCGTTCGATCTGCTAAACCACCGCAACGGTGGGTAAAATGCGGCCATAGCCTCCGCCGCAGAGGGGCGTTATTGGATGGTTGAATTACACGTTTGTTTAGTTTAATTAATGTGTGTGTTTGTTGAAGTGATGGGTTAAATCGGAAATGGATAATGAAATGGGGTTTGTTTAATTGTTAAATTGGGTTAGAGCGCTGGAATTGTTTGTGAATTACGTCAAATTAGGAGTTGAAATCAGTGTGTTGTTTGTTATGTGTATTATTTATTTCTCTTATAATTAATTGTTCGTTTACATGTGACGCCTTCCCACTATGTTTTTGTAATCTACGATATCATCAATTTCCAAATTTCTTCTCTCTCTCTCTGTCTTGCACAGTGTGTGTGATTAGATGGATTTAATAGGTGACTTTAGGGTTGTTCAGCTACCACTCCACATCTACTTATAAATTAGTACCCAACAATTTTTTCTATTATTTATAAATGTTTTTTTAGCGGTATTATTTCAAGATTGTAATAGTTCAAGCCCACCAATAGCAAATATTGTCGGCTTTGATCTATTACTTATTGCCATTAGTCATACGGTTTTAAAATGCATCTATTAGGAGGGATTTTCATATTCTTGTAAAAAAATGTTTCATTCCCCCTCCTAACTGGTGTGAAATCTCACCCTTTACCCTTTTAAAGGTGCAATGTACTCGTTAGTACACCACTTGATGTCTGGCTCTAATACTATTGGGAGTAGTTCAAGCTCACTGCTAGTAGACAGTAAATTATGAAATCTCATATCAATCGAAGAAGAGAACGAAATATTTCTTATAAAGGTGCGAAAATCTCTCCTTAACGAACATAAGGGGAAAAGAATCGATATTTGTTTATAATAACGTGGATAAATATTGTTTTTGGGTTGGATTTATGTTTTGTTTTGTTGTGTGTAATAGTACTTTAGGGTGTGTTGGACCAATTATTTTCATTTACAATAAATATCTAAATAATGGAATTTCAAAAAAGAAGAGGACACGAAGTGAAAGCCAAAGGAGTCATGATGAACACCATCACCCACCATTTTTTGTATCCCAACTCTCCATTCCTTTTTTTTTTTTTTAAATATATATATATATATACACCTTAACTTAATTAAAAAAAAAAAAAAAACAGGAAATCATGAAATATTAAATTATAAAAAAACTCAATTTAGACAATTTTTTTAAAGTTGTATTAATTAAAATTAAAAAATTTAATGAATTAATTTAGATTCCTCAAGTCATAATTATTCTTAATTGATTTCACTTAAAATCAAACTCAACATTATCAAAATGCCAATATTCTTTTCTTAAAATTTTACCTAAGTAACCAATAAAAGTAGTCATGTAATTCTTCTTAAATTATTAGAGAAATTAGAGAAATAAGTGAAAAAAAGGAATAAAGAAAATCGTTTACGTTAATTATGCATTAACAAATTAGAAGCGGAATTCTAACAAAAAAAATAAAATAAAATAAAAGAATAAACAAGCTTTCTTTTTCTCTTTTTTTTAATGCTTTTGTAATTTGATTTATGTTATATATCAATGAACTATCCCATAATCCAGATAGTGCGTGGCATATAGTGGGCGACAAAATCTCTGTGCTGATCGACAGCAATTATAGTTTTTTTTTTTTTCATTTCTTTTTGTAATAGAATAATTCAAATTTCACATAATTTATCGTAACTTTTAAAATTATATAAAAAAAATTAGATTCGCAAATTTAAATCTTCATAATTTATTAAACACTCTAATAAATATACATTTAACTTTATTTATTCAAGTAAACAATACATAAAACTTGTAATTTGAAATTAGACGACCAAGTCTCCTACTCAACATAATAATAATAATAATAATAATAATACAAAATGAAATTTAAAACAGTTTTTTATTTTAAAAAAAGAAAAAAGAAATAAAAAGAAATAAAAAAATTATTTGTCGAGGTAGTATATGACGTTGTCCCGTATTTTTTTGGTTAGTAATTATTTTAACTAACCAAAAAAAATATTAAATGAGCAAATTTAATTGAGATGGGGACTGATTGAAGGGAAGCACGTGCGAGACAGCTAAATGTGTGAGAGCGAATGCACCTTCATCCTCCATTTCTATTAAGCAATCGCCTTGGCAACAAGGGAAGTACGGCCATTTTAAGAAAAAATATAATAATAATAATAATAATAATAAATTAGTACGAGGGACCCTCTTCATATATATATATATATATATATATATATTTATTTATTTATATTTAATTTTCAGATTTCCAATATTCAGATCTGGCCGACGCTAAAAAAAAGTAAAAATATATTTTAATCATTAATTACCATATTTTCTCTTTTTAATTCGAGAATTATTATTACTTTATTGGATTATCCTCTTTATCATTATCAGACTTTTTTTCCGCATTGTTTCCGATTTGTGGTCGGAGCAGGCACATTCATTCTCGAGGGTGTATCTCTCAGCGAATCAAAGGAACGCAGATTTTCCTCCTGAGAGATGGAAGCTGATGTTTCCATTGATTTATCTAAACCCTCGTAAATCTGTTCTCCGTTTCGATCTCTATCCTCTCCTTTTTCTCTCTC